TCTTTTCTATATATATTTTCCTTCCAGGGGAATGTCCCATTTAGGAATGACATCCTGCTTGGTGGTGTGAATGCCTGTCCAGGTATGCTTCCTATATCTCAAATTTGCACTGTGTGTCTACGATGTATACCTTTGGCCTATAATGCACATTGTTGAAATGGGGTGTTCCACAAGATCACTAGAAGGTTTTTTTTCCTCACAATATATTGCTTCATTAATAAGCCCATACCAGACCATATTAACCCATGGACTTGCATGGATAAAGCAGAAGGGGATAGTTGCCCATATCTGCTGTCCCTTTGACAGAATAAATCAAGGGCAGTCTGCTTTTCAAGATAGGGTTTTCATGGTCATCCACTGCACTGTCTCCAGCCTTGGCATTCCTCTGGACTCTCTACCGTGTTTTATCCCCCTTGTTCTTCTAGCGGAGTATGGAAGTTCTTGCCACTTTCCAGTTCTGAGCTGCTGGGGTGGTGGACCATGGGGGAGTCACCTGAATGTGTTTGCTTCCATTCAGTTGAGAGTAGGGCAATGTTGTTCTGCTGGTGTAGGTGGCATGCTATCCTACAATAATGCTCTTCACCTCCGTGTGGAGGTTGATGTTGCAGCCTGGAGGGTGAGATTGTTTATATTTTTTACATGCATTCCACTTCCAGTACCTGAACATGTCTGTTATATTAAATGAAAGGTAATTTGAAAATGTCCTTAAATAAAGCCCAAAACAAGCTGAAAATAGGAATACTAGTTTCATGCAAGAATAATTAATTCATTGAATGTAATCAGTTAATAAGATAATTAATCGGTTAGCAAATTTCACAAGCTCTACATGTCGCTTCACTTATCAGAGGTTGAGGAGAATTAGCCATTATTTTGTACACAACAATATAGAGTGAAGTGAATCAACAATTTATTATTAATTGGAATCAATAATATGGAAATTTCACACATCTCAGTCCTTATTACATGTTTATTTGTCAATGAAAATGTTATTATTTTCCTATACTGAAGATACATTTCTGATAGGTACTTACCTGCCCTCACATGTATATCTGTTCTTCTTCAGTGCTGTCCTCTATATGAAAATTATTTTTCACATGTCTGAAGTCTTGAATTTCCACATACCCCACTATCAAGGTGGTTCAACTGTGTCTTGCATGTAAATCATCATGTGTCAGCATTCCACCAATAGGAATGCGACACACCCTCCAGACACACTACCGAACTATCACTTTCAGATTAGGCAGAAAAGAAAGCACCAGTTTTCAGTGAGGAGGAAGAGTGGGAAGTGTGAGAAGAAGTAAGTACCTAACAGAAATACATTTTCAGTATAGGAAAATAATAACTCCTTATATGGTACATTACTCCATTCACATTTATAGCTAGAATCCCACATTGAATAGGTGAAGGGACCAGTGCGACGTAAAGAAATAAGTATGAACAAATAGAATGAATGCATATACTGTGCAAACCAATCAACGAAATGGGAACATGTGCACAAATCCACAACCAACCACACATCCAGGAACCCGATATTTGAATGACGGTAAGAAGAGATGTGCCAATATGGCAGGTCACATCAAACTCAATCAGGCTGGCACCACACTCCACAACATCAGCCTCAGGCAGTGAAAAAACCTTTAAGTGGAGCACAGTGCAAGAGGAAGAACCATCACCCAATCAATATTATTCTCGGGATAGGACTGCACAAAAGCAGAGTCCCACCACGCAGAAGCATATTGTCTCTAGAAATATATAGCAACCACACCCTCCAGATAGAATCTCATAGAAGCTGGGTGCAACATCAACCTCCAGGACCCACCACACGGAGGTGGAGACCCTCAGGAAAAATGAGTGAAGAAGAGGAACCAACATGTGTGAGGATTTATGTTGATTGGTCCAGCTCTAATCCAAAACCACTCACTGGAAACAGATATCCAGGTGATGGTAGGATGAGAGATCCCAATGGAATCGGTGAACTGCAATGTGATGGATCTACTCCAGAGCAATAGCAACCTTATGGTCCCACCGCAATCAATTGAGAATGAACACATTAGAATAACTACTATGTTCACATTTTACAATACAGGCTGGAAGAAACACTAGCAATACACAGGTACTGAGGAACTCATTAAATCAAACAAAGTAAAGTGTGCTCTACTAAGTAGAGTTTAAGCAGCATTTGATGACTGCCAGACCTTTGTTTTCCCCTATCTAGCTAGAGCTAGTTGTAAACCAACAGTTGTGCTCTTCATGTTCGTGTGTTATGCACAAGCAGAAAACATGCATATTGTCATGCGCAGTCAAACCAACAGAAGTAGTAATACCTAATATTTCAATTACTTAGATATTTGGAATAATTGAAAACTAATAATCTAAAACATTAATTTTGATTATTTTTGTGAGCCTGGTGGTTAGGGTGATCGACT